AAACAAATGATATTTACTCTGCGTCAAAACAAGAGGGAAATTGTTATGATTTTGATTATCTCATATTGGAGCCTGGAATTCCATCCGATTTAACTTATCAGATTCAGAGCCACGGGGCCATGCTACCAGGACCAGGCAACTTCAACTATATGGAGCCAAATGCAGGAATTGATATCAAATTTGGTTTCGATTTTGATTTTGTAGAAAATCTAGATTTGCTTGATCTGGGATTGTCTGTATTTGAATCCTAGGCTAATATCTGTCATACATATTTTTTTCTTTTATAAATTGTTGTATTATTTCATAGTAACACCATAACCAGATTGAACTTTTCCTCAGTCTCAGCTCGCAATTAGTCTGAAGGTCAAACATGATGTATCTGTCTAAAGTGAATCCTTCCTTTTTCTTTCTTTGAAAAAATACCTCAGCTCTGAACCCTAAAACACATGATATACCAGAGCTGATCTTACATAACAGATATGCATGTCCAGACAAATTTGTTACCATCTTGCACATGCTATTCTCTGATTTGCAGTTTTAATACGCATTTTAAAGAACTATATTGCTGCTAGAGACACTGCAGGATGAGCAATAAATGCCAGTAAAAGAATATGAATATCTTTGCCTTTGACGCCCTCAGCTGCATCTGTTACTTCAAATTAGCTACATTTTCTAAAACCTCTCAGTCAGCTGCGTAAAATCCAATTTGATCATCAATTCGTATTCCTTGGATAAAGATAGGCATTTGGAGACCATAATAGGACACCAAGTAACTGAAGCATTTTCCATGTTGACTCTGAAAACTTTCAATAACATTGGCTAGACATTTAGAGCCTTAAACACATCTCATTCACTCTCCTCCGCCTTGGACAGTACCATTTTCCACGGTCCACTTTTCATGCCCAACCTAAAATAAAGCACAGTTTGAGGTTAGATATTCTGTTTTTAACAAAAACAGCTAAGTTTGTTGCGCAAGCGTATAAAATCAGGCAACGCAAATTTCAACCAAATAATCATAGCTTGATTTAGCTATAAAGAATTTGAAGGGTTAATCAATTACTACCACAGCCTGCATGTGGTAGAATCTCAATAAAAGGAAACAGAGGGGGGATATCATCTTGATATTTACTTAGCTTGAGCAGATAAAATCTTTTACTCATTAGCTTGTGCAGATAAAATCTTTTACTCATTAACAAGTGGAGCTGCACTTGAGGTTCTAAGCACCAAGATTTATTTGAAGCTACATAACCACATGCAACAAAAGAAGTTGGTCATCAAAAGTGACTCAAACTAGACAGAACGACAACCCCTTTCCCCACACCCTGAGAAGAAAACCGTCAAAGAATCAGAAATTAGTTTACCTCCAAAATCCAGCTACTACACGCAAGGTCATGAAGAGAAACAGTCCTGCCCAAACCCCAGCAAGACCATATATGGGAGCAGCCACAAGTAAGAATATAGAAGAGATCAATCCAATAAGTACCTACAACACAAGGATGGATCCAAAAATAAAAAAAGAATTACCTATTATATAAGAATCAAAGAAAGAATATGCTACTATACAATTGAAATCATTGATCATATATTTGAAGGTCACTGTAACAGAAAAGTGAGTACCATAGAGTAGGCAGCATATCCAAAGTCAGAAACCCCATAATAAAGTCCATCAAGAACAAAGGCAATAGCGTTCACTGGCTGAGATCCGGCAACAAACTGTAAATAGCATCAACAACAGGTACAATCACTAGCCACAACCATGGAACATATGGGTAGCCAAAAATTAATTAGCTACATTTAAATGATCCTGTGCTAGAAAACCAACTTTATTGACAGCTTGACAAGTACTTTCAAGACATCTCCTTGAGCAAAACTGTTTTTTTTCTTTCTTTTCAGGAAAAGAAATTTAATCTAGAATATTAAAACTTGAAACATGTCGCAATGGTAAATAGCATCAACTATAGCAGTTCACTGATTAACACTGCAACATAGAACAATAATATTCATAGACATCAATTATGAAAAACAAAATCAGAACAAATTCGTATATACCAGGAAATGCTGTTAAAAAGTAAATATATAAACCAAATACTCTCCACAAGCCTATAGCATTCATAGTGAGGGCATATGCAAGTAGCTTAAACATGCAACATGAACCAACAAGTTCATAAACTACAAAATTGTTTGCCTAAAGATGTAATAAAAGGAACTCAAATAACAACTCATATCCCTTCCTTGATTCAGTAAATTTGTCAGTAGATAAACATAAAAAGACCACCTTTCAGCAAGCTAAGTTTGGCACTGAAAGGGTAGGATTGGAAAATTAGAAAGGACAGAATCCTGTGGCAACAACTTATGGAGCGATAGATCAGTAGAGAGTGGGGACAAATCATGGAGTTGGTCCATTTTGAGGTGGGTGGTGATTGGTCTGTTGGTCTTTGGGATGATAAGTGGTATGAAGAACCTCCTTTGACGATTCTCTTCTCCATCATATTTCTCTTTGGCCAGGGAAAAAAGGACGCGCCTGGAATCAAAAGTCTCTCAAGTTAATCCTTTTAATAGAATTAGAGAACACTGAAACACCCTGGTGAGTATTTGTTGGCAGGACACCCCCATCCTTGATGGTGTCTACTGGGGGAATCTTGTTAAGATATCTCGGTTTCTGACATTCTGTGAATCTTTTGTACATGGCCGAAGCAACAAGGTGCCTAATGTTATTTTCTCTTATTATTACAAAACAAACAAAAAAACCTAGTCATTGTTCATGTTTATCAACAAAGAAACCAAAATTAGATAGTTTTTCTAAGACGAAGTTTACTTCCATTTCGGTACAGAGGCCCGAAGTAATTGCATCACACAGAAAATAATAATAATAAATTCCAAGAGAAAAATTTGAAGTAACAGTTGGCATATTATCTCACCATGATCAAGCCTAAATGGTTAGACCATGTTGGCATATAATGACTAAAGATTACATATACAGACAGGAAAGAAATCCAGCTTATTATCACCAGGAGAAACAACTAATAACATAACAACTAGAATTTCAGAAGAGTGACTATTTTAGTGTTGCAAATTATAAGCTCATAGACAATCTCAAATCAAGAGTGTAAACAAAATTGGACCAGTTCAGCATGGGATCTTAAATGGGCCTAAAAGCTTTATAGCAATACATTCATGGACCACAGTCTATCCGTAATGTTATATGTGGTAAATGCAGGAAAACTGTGTAAATAGGACCTTACAAGAGTACCAGACTGAACAATCTCCAATACTTCTGAATCTGTTGTGAATAAACTAGAAAATGCTCCAAATCCGAGGAATAAAGAAACCGCCAAAGCAACTCCTGTCACAAAACTAATCTGTTTCAAGATCAAATGACAACACCATGTCACTGGATCAGTTAAAATTAGAAAAGAAAACATTACAACCAAAATAACAAGTTAAGTACTGGATATAAACCTGCAGAACTCTGTCAATCACTTGGCGTGCTTGCTCAAAATTGCCTTGAGAGTAATCAGTGGCAAGGAGAGCCTGCAAAGGAGACCTCAAAATTAGAATGGTCCTACATGAGTTGCACATTCAAACTTTCAACTTATGCGTCCAAATAAATGTATCTCAAATATTTCTCAATTCCTTGCTTCTAGCTGCAAAATCCTCCATGCAAATCTCACAATGGCAATTCCGTCGCACCTCCATGAGGATGACTAGATCTATTCCTCCAAAGTTCTCACTTCGGTCCAAAGTTAGTGATACAAGATATAGAATCAGTAATACAAAGATCACAATGCAACTTCATTTTTTCTTTTTCACTTCAACACCCTCCTTAAATTGACTAGGATGGCGTAACTCCGGTGTGGTTCCTCTTGCCCCTTTTTCTAATTGAAAAAATTTTCATATGCTCAGTTTGCTTCTTTTATTCACAATAAAGTTTACGCCTACATTCAGAAATTGATCTTATTGAGTTCCACTAGATCCGTAAGCTGCTATGCTGATTTTTTAGTTTTATGTCCATATGTCAACATGTATTTTACTGAGCTCCACAAGATCTGTAAGTTACCACTTAGAGTTTTTAGTTAATCCATAGCCCACTTTCACAGTTAAGTTCAAGTATGCCAAACATTGGTTTCACTTGTTCTAATAGATCTGCAAGCTGGTATTTAGATTTTTTTTTTCATGCAGAACTTGCCAACAAAAGGAAGTGAAGAAAAACCTGTCCAGCAAGAGCTAATGCATCTGTGAGCAAAGACACTGCCAGCCAAACTTGTATGCAAATTTGATGACCGGCCATTGGTACAGGTCCCTCTCTAGCGGCCATGGATGTTCCTAGTGTCATAATCACAACGACTGAAATAGTCCTAGCAATAAGAAGACCACCTGTAGATGTAATTGATACTTCGATTTAGTGGAAAACGCTAAAACAGGTTAGAAAATGGTAATAACTGTTAATAACTAATGGTTAACAAAAACTTATCATTAACAGACAAATTCCACAATTTACATAAATTTTTGACAATCAAAGACCAAAAACTTAAATTTTTCCAAAACCATAAAATATAACTAATCTAAAATCTTAAAAAATTAAAAACGAACCAATTACACTAATTAACACATGAATTTAACAGTTTATATCTTCTAAAGTTAAATTAAAAACTATTTGAACTTAAAATATTTCATACTTGATAATTTTTGTACTATAACATATTATATTAAACTAGCTTCTTGTGCGACATATTTATATGGTTACAAAATACATGTTTTAGTTGAATAGATTAACCATTAGGTTATAGCTAACCACAGTTTTCAAAATAACATGAACCAAAATCAACAACTTAATTAGTTTTGCAGTTCAAATCCTTTTTTTAATTAAAACCCTTACATAAATATTTCACGAATTCAGATTTTCTCCCTGATACTATATTTTATTTAAATATACATATATGGAAATATATTTTTGTGTACTATAAAGATCACAAATTCAGTATTGCAGCTTGGTCCCTTATTTTTTTAAGTTAAAACCCTTATAATCCATATCATATTTAAATACAAATCTGTCTAGCATACATATGGTTATAAAAATATATGGTTTAATTTAAAGGATTAATTTGGTTTTAGTTAACCACCGTTTTTGGAAATCACGTATGAAAACTGAAAATACTAATTCAGCTTTGCAGCTCAATTTTTTTTTTTAATTAAACCCTTATACAAAGATTATCAGCCCATGAAAGGGATTTCACAAATTCAGATTTTCTCATTTTTCCCTTAGTTGGAGTTTGCTCCAAATTTTAATTTTCTGGAATAAGAAAAAAGCTATAATATAAATAACATAAAGAATTTAAGGATAATAGCGTTCTCATTCTAAGTATACCATATTTTCAAGTTAGGTTAGGTGTTTTTTGTGATTACTCTCTTGACAAGTCATTTTGGATTGAAGACATAAATGGAGCTGGCTCAATTACGCATTAAATATAAACTATGACTAGAACCATATCTAGTGTAAGTGTTAGTAACTAATTTGAGATGCAAGCCCATTTTTAACTCCAAATCCTTTCACATCAAAGTGTTGTGAATTTTTTATGTAAATGCAACTACTTTCCTTGATGTTCTTTAGTGATCAATATTTTCAGTTTAGCAACCCTGCTATAGAACATTTCTTCTCTACAACATAGCCATTAGGTTAATTAATCAGCTCATGTATGGCCTTCAATAACTTATTGGCATTTGCAGCAGTTGCTTTTGTCGAGTTTAATATCTTCAAGCAGATTATTCCTTTACAAAGCTAATGTATGAACAAAAATTATAGAACTGAAAGAGGAAAGCCTAGTAAGAAAATGTAAAAGTATGCCAGAAATTTACCAGACTTTAGATAGCCAGCGAGTCTTTTTCCATCAATTTTTGGAGAGAGAAGTGATACTTCATCGTTCAACTTCCAGAGAAGAATAAAAGCTATCAAATATCTGGAGAAATGAAGAAAGGAACTAATCAGGAGTAAAAATAACAGATGATCTTGTAGCTAAAGATGCATCATGAGCAAAGTCTGATCATATTATCATAGTTTACCCATATTGACATACTCAGATATCACAGTTGCAGCTGCAGCACCAACAATTCCAAGATCAAGGAGAAATATAAAAACTGGTTCCAGTATTGCATTCAATAAGTTCCCAGCACCTGTTAATCAAGAGTTGAAAATTTTCATGCATAAACTTGATGCTGCAGTGACACCACTAGCATTGTTTGTCTAGGACATGTAAAAAGTGTCCCAGGAAAATATGGTCAGGTATATGTGCATGAGTGCGGAGGTGGAGGTGGGTCGAACAGAGAGAGGGACACCTTAATATTTACCAATAGCATTCAGAGGGGTGTTAGTATCCTTAAATCCACGAAAAGCACCATGAGCAGCAAGTGCAATAACAATAGTTGGAGCACCAAAGGCCCTCAAGGTAAGAAAACGCTCAGCTGCCACTCG